AATCCAAACACTGAAACACACATTCTAATTATAATACATTTCCATTCAAAGCCAAGCCGAGCATCATCATGGAATTCGCACAATACGACAACTTGTCACAAGTTTTACGCCGCAGCCGCCAATCAAATCCTGACCGTCCGGACGACGTATACGGTAACCTGTTTGAGGGCAGTGACACCCTGACGTCACAGAAACTGCTGTTATTCTCCGAACAAGTGGCCACCGGCATGGATCATATCAGTAGCCTGGGCATCATTCACCGTAAACTTGGCGCAAGAAACGTATTTGTTGGTAATAATGAAATCTGCAAAATTGGTTCGTTCTCTAAAGCTATTCAAACTGACAAACTCGAAGTGAAAGACAAGCAAGAGGTAGGTTTGTTAAAAAATAACTTTTCTTTATCTCATCTGTAAAATGTTACCTTATGCACAGTTAAATAGTGAAAATATAAATAAATAAATAATTTAAATTAATTAATTATCTTAGACTCAATTCGTTACGCTTTGTTTTAGACCCGTCTACCGATCCGTTGGATGGCTCCAGAGTCTCTTAGCAATCACATTTTCTCGTTCAAGACAGATGTCTGGTCCTTCGGGATTTTATTATGGGAGATTGTAACCTTAGGTATGTTTATTGTCGTGTGTCAGTCAGCCATGTATTATACGTTATAAGTTCGCTGACAATAATTTACCACGTCTATTGCAGGTGCTTTACCTTACCCCGGAATGAAGAACAAAGAAATCACCGAACAAGTTGCTAAGGGTTACCGTATGGAAAAGCCGCCTCATTGTACCCAGGAACTGTAAGTATATGTAACTCGGCTTTGTATCACGCATGATCCCTCAAGCGGACTTGAACGCGAATCGTGGTTCTCAAAGTAATAACAATACAAATAAATAATAAATATTAGTAATGAAAAAAATATTATTGCATTTTTGTTTATTTTGAAGCAATCTATATATTGGTGACATGTTTGAATGTCATCAATATACTGTAAAACAAGCCATAAATATAATATTTAACACTGACTATTATCAATTTGACCACGCAGGTTCACTGTGATGCTCCGTTCTTGGAACAAGAACGTAGAACGTCGTCCTGGATTTGGCGAACTGGTTCAAGAAATCAGATACATTAATAGACAGGAAGAGGTACATGCATTATTCAGTACATATGTCTTACAAGTCAAAATGACGTAGCTGGATGATAGCTACATCACGCCTTTGATTGGTTGTGCACTCATTCGTAAAATAGAATATAATTAATCTCCCCAAAGGTCATAGTTTTGTTTACAGATGACTGCAGATAAAAAACTAAAGCGACTATTCTTCAGTAATAAAAAGACCTCAGCGACGATGGAAATTTATTGGATTTATAGTCGTTTTATAATATGATACAAATAACATGAACACATATATACTGTCTATAATTTAATTAAATATTATTGCTTTTAATAGGTTGTCAACCTGAGCCAATACGACAGTGAACTATATGGTGATATCAATGATATGTAAACTCAGAACAATGGATTGATTATGTGAAGCAATACAGCATTGAGATCATTTCCAGCAGTGTTTCTGTCTTGCTTTCATAGATTATTCTGTAGTTTGTATTTAACCGTATTGTATACTTTTGGAAAATGTTTGTTTCCTGGAATTAATTACAGAAGATCACACGTCATCCGAGTTACTTGAAAAAAGGGTGACACAAATTATATACACAGATTTTATTGATCTTTCAAAATTCAAACATAACAGAAAGGGTATTTTTTTATAAGAAATTGATGCCAGCAGTAATAGAGATGAACTACCAATTAAATACTACAGATACGTAGAATTTATTCAGGAATATTCCCTTAATGCATTGAGTTTACTTGTCTGGTTATGATTGAGTTGTCTAACAAAGGAGCTTTCATATTTTCCTGGTCTAATAATTGATGCAATTGTCTGGAGTTTGATAATATTGTTTCATAATCAGATTTTTCAATTAACTATCATTATATTTGGATACCTTATATTACTCAGACAGCAGTGTTACTTTGCAGACAAACATGTTATGTTGTGCTTCAGTTCCAAGATAACCCATTTCTAAGTAGGAGGTCTGTTTGAAAATTACCGATATAAGAACATTTAGAAGAACCCTTAATGTCTACAAGTTGAACATTTAACTATTCCCCAAAATACCAAAAAGTATGCGCAGAGTCGTAGTAACATTGATTTACACGGGACCTCAGTTGGTTTAGTTAGCAGATTATCAAAACAATCGTCGTTAGTAATTAACAATTTCTCAAAATCTGATTAACTACAGAAAGACCAAACTGATTGTATATTCAAAATGTTTTTATGTTGATTGATTCTATCTGTATAACAGTATATTCAGATGTGTATGTGTGGTATGTTATATAATAAAATATAATCGGAATTCAGAAAGTTGTTCTGTGAAATAGATTGAACGGGATTGTGCAATTGGTTCATCACCCAGTCCTTGTGTGTTGCATTTTGACTTGCAACATTTAAATAGTTGTCCATTTAGATGTCATGTATCATTAAAAATTGGATGACAATGATTAATTTACTATTCTTGATTTTGAGTGATCTACAAAACAATATAACTGACCTGCATGGTACAGATTTTCGAAATTATACATCTCCGCAAGTCATGACAATACTTCGAAATTCAAGGCCGGAATTTTGTCGTTTATTTTTGGATATATGTGTAAAATAATAACTATTTACAGCAAAACCATTCTTAATATCCGTAGCAGTTTAAAAGTCCTAGGTTGACTTTGAAAAAAACGTCATTCTTAGATTAATAGATTAGTACGTAGTCATGGTGTTATATTTCTCTCTAATTCAGCCACTTCCCTAAGCGTCGACTACTAAATCAGCCGCTAACCAAAGCGTCGCCTACTAAATCAGCCGCTACCCAAAGCGTCGCCTACTAAATCAGCCGCTACCCAAAGCGTTGCCTACTAAATCAGCCGCTACCCAAACCGTCGCCTACTAAATCACCGCTACCCAACCGTCGCCTACTAAATCAGCCGCTACCCAAAGCGTCCCTACTAAATCAGCCGCTACCCAAAGCGTTGCCTACTAAATCAGCCGCTACCCAAAGCGTCGCTTTCTAAATCAGCCGCTACCCAAAGCGTGCCTACTAAATCAGCCGCTACCCAAAGCGTCGCCTACTAAATCAGCCACTACCTCAAGCAAT